GAGGAGGCCGAACAGGCAAACTCCAGAAGAGCTGCCCCGCAGCACAACCTGCTGGTATCTCTCAGCCAAGGCAGGACTGCTCTAAATACATTATCCAGCCTAACAGCAGCACAGAAACACAAGGTCCAAGGACATGAAACGACAAAGAAGTTGACCCAAAAAGCTGCAGAACAAAGACCAGCTTTGTCCACAATAACTTGCTATCCTGCAAAAAGTCAAAGCAGAGTCCTAACCCTTGGCTACTTCTAGTAGATAGGAATCATTACAGCTGTAGGCTTTGCTATTGTTTAGCCTGGTTTCTTCTAGAAAAACACAAACTTACAAGACCATACTTTGTGCAAGATGAAAGCATTTGCTTTTGAGCCCATGGGCCAACTTCAGCCAAGTGCAACAAAGGTTTCATGAGACTTAGAGGCCATGGAAAGGAGACAGCTATTGTTGCCCTGGTCAGGGGAGATGCTGCAATATGAACTTACCTTTATAGCATACCAGAGAACCCACAGCGGAAAAAGCCCTTAGAAATGCTTCAGTAGGGCAGGGCTCACGTTTCCTTTTTTTTGATGCCAGAAATTAGGAACCACCAGACAAATCCAGAGAAACCAACTCCATGACACCTCTGTTTCCAGAGCTCCCTGTGTGTTATTCTGACTACATGCATTAGCTGTTTTAAAGGCCATGCTTAAGAGTTCTGCATATGCTCCGGTATTCTCTGGACACCACATAGCATATTGCAACCTCATGTGTGCAGTCAAAAAGTTCTTCATTCCTATTATTCCTTTAAATGTTTTAATATTCCATTATTTCTTTTCTTTTTCGGCTGTCTAGAACAACATACTTCTAAAACAGACAATTAAATAAGAGGGAGGTAGCATTTAGTATTAATGTAATCTAAATTTAATTCCAGGATATTCCTGTGTTTTATTGAGGAGGCCATGCAACAGGTTGAAACCCCATGTGCGTCAGATATGCTAGGCTTCATAGCAGCAGAATGTTGTTTTTGGCAGTCCCTTTGCAGATGTCTTCTAGATAACTTGGTAGGACCCTGTCTATTGTTATAGTGGTAATTCTGCAAGCAAACTTTCAAAGGTGTTGCATTTCCTTGTCTAACATACTCGCTATTAAGTATTGCAACACTACACCATGAAATGCAATAGATTTGCCACCATTTGCAGCCTCAAAAGCAAAATAAGCAAAGCTGTTCTAGGAGGCTGGCTTTAGCCCAAACAGAAACAATAGGTTGTAAGTAGAAACAGCAAACTGAATGTTTGGTGCTGGTGGTCTCCAAAACAAAAAGAGCCAAAAGGGAGAAATCCTAATTACTTCAAACTTGCATATCAAGCCACCACTACAGAAGAGGCCTTTAGAGGACTGCATGTGCAACCCACCTTCCACAGTCCTACTGCTCTCCTCCTTCAACGCTCATGAGTAGCTAGATGCAAAACAGAACCAGAAAAGCTGCCAAATCTTTACAATTGGGTTTCAATGTACAAGTGAGAAAACACACTTTGACTTTCAGATGCCAGGGTCCAGCACAATATTTTTATTTTTTAATGCCTAAACTGAGCTAGCACAAGACAAAACCATTGGGATACTTGACATTTCTCCAGCTGGCAGTGCACTTTGAGCACCATTGTGATAGGACAAAGGGTAATGGTTTTAAACTAAAAGAGGGTAGATCCAGACTAGATATAAGGAAGAAATTTTTTATGATGTGGGTGGTGAAACACTGGAAGAGCTTGCACAGAGAGGTGGTAGATGCCCCATCCCTGGAAACATTCAAGGTCAGGTTGGACGGGGCTCTGAGCAACCTGCTCTAGTTGAAGATGTTCCTGCTCATTGCAGGGGGGATGGACTAATGACCTTTGAAAGGTCTCTTCTGACTCAAACCATTCTATGACCCTATGGTAAGCATGAAGATCTCTACCTTGTATGCAGAAATGCACTGAGGCAAGACTCGCTGTAGTGCTCAGCCTTACACTAAAAAGCTCAGTTTCTGCTGAGAAAGTAATTCACAGCTGGAAGTGCAATAACTCAGATAAGAACAAAAAAGACAGGCTGTACTAGTATCTGAAGAGGAGACCTGGATGTAACCATGCCAGGGCTGTGGGAACTGCAACATGCTTCTGATGACTACTCACCTTCCTGTAAGAACCTGTTAAGAAGCCACAAAGATTTTTATGGTGATGGTTTCTTTTACCCATGATGTAGTTGTATTATTTTCACTGTGTCCATGAGAAACTCCTTAAGACTCTTGTAAATAGAGTTGTAACCCAATTCCAACTCTTGTAATTATATCATACCCACTTAAATTATCCCCAAAGGATTTTATTTGTTTTTAATAAACCAATCTTAGAAAGTATCTGCTTTTAGAAAAGAAAACTCTGAAAGAGTTTTGTTTAAGTAATACCCCCTTCCTCCTACCTCCAATAAATCAGTACAGGAGTCTAATATCTCTTCAAAGAAGGGAATAAAAACTGGTGCAACTTCACAAGCATTGGTTTGTGAATTTCACTCACAGAATCTGGTATCCAATTTCAGGTCTATGAAGAGATCCACAGAGACCATAAGAAACAAGGCCACAGCTAGCTGTGCAGTTAATCAAAAAATCTCCCCATTTCCAGGATATGTAATTACAAGTCTGATGATCACAGTTTGCCTTTGTGGAAATGGCTCAGGCAATTTAAAATAAATAAATACTGCAGAGCACTAGCAGAACAGCTACAACCTTGACCCTTTATGCAGGAAAGCACTGCCTACAGACAGGAATTCACTTACATAAGCAGGTATAAACTACAAAGAGCACTATTGCCTGCATTCATCCTATCAAAATGTAAGCATTTATCTGGATGCCAAATGAGAAAAAGAAGTGAGCTGAATCTGAGGTAACACCCATGTCCTTACCTGGGAGACAGCAGGGAGTAGAGGAGACAGCTCTTATCTTAGTATCTGGAGTAGAGCTCAAAGACCACATGCTTAGGTGTATAGTTAGTGACGCACCTGCTTAAGTCATGCAATTAAGGTGAAACCAGAGATCCCTATGTAAAGATAAGTCTCTGGCCTTAGTGACTGTAGAGCAGCATCTGTCTGACATCTGCTATCAGCTCAGAACAGTTGCACTAAGAGGCGAACAGTCCCAAGCATCTAAATGTGGTGCAACGCCCCAGCTATGCTGGGCAATGTTCCCAGCATCGTGTTGCATAGATACTGCACATGCACAGCTCCTGGAAGATGGCAGAAATCAGGGTTTAGTTTCCTTCTGCTGAGGTGAAGCCAATTAAAAATAACCTTAAAATACAATTAGTCCCTCAAGCTTTTTTTCCCCCCAAGAAATATTGATGCGAATTTTGTGGCTTACATTTCAAGCCTTATGAGGAGGGAGACTCCCAAAACCACACTATCGTTTTAGCCTGAGATATGCTCTACTGGCATGCAGATGCGGTCCATGTGAAAGCACTGCAAAATACAACCTGATGCCGACAACCACGTCATCTTACTTCCAAAGCAATCTCTTTCCTTTCCTCAACATACTTGCTGAAATTTTGTCCTCCAGATTTGTATTGGGCAAGATTAAGAAAACTACCCCCCACCCATTTCTTTCAAACAACCCCTTGCCTCTGCTGCTTGTGGTATTTGCAGCTGTTTTCATAGCACTTTCAGCTTGATGATTGTACAAGAAGTCTACAAAGTAACCTCTTTCTAAACAGCCAAAGAATTTGGATAAATAACCAAATGAAAACCCAAAAGCTCAAATTCTGAGGTTTGCCTATTATCAGCCTCAAGATTACATGCAATCAGGATTAAAGAGGAGTCAACTAATTTGAAGTGAGAGACAAGCTATCAGTCTGGTTAAAAAAAATACAATGCACCTTAATCCAGTATTTTGCTATTGGTATGCATGTGCCATTCAAATAAGATGCATTAATCACTGAAGAACACCTGCCAAAAATCAAGTGTTTTCTACTCACTCTCTCAACTGCAGATCTTCGGAGGTGAGCTGCAACTGCATGTGCAATAAGGTTTCCAAATTACTAGCAACTCTAAGCTGATCCTAAACGTGAAACAAAGACCAAAACAGGGCCTGATGCTCTATGCGTAGAGGATAATAAGCAGTGAATGGGTCTGCATACCTGGAAGACTGGCAGCATACTGCTCTGAAATTACAGAAGCAGCATCCTGGAAGATGATCATAATTTTCTGTGACATGTCCATAGTTCCAGTGAGGTCTTCAAAGCCCCCATACTTGGAATACTGAAGTAGAACTAATTTGCTTAAGCCCCAGAAGCCCACTTGCCTGCTTCCAAACTGGCAGGGACAGGAATGAAAACAGAAATGCAACAATATATGCCTTTCCAGGGCCCCATTTATTAAGTGAATACAAAAATAAGATCATCTAAGTGCAGAGGCACAGTAATCTGCTCCATAGTGAAAAGATACCTTGGGTTTGCAGTAAACAGAGTTTACAATGCCTTGTAAACAGACCTCTTTACAAGCAAGAAGCATACTGAAACATTACACACATCGGATTAAAGGTTCCATATTGCAGCAATACTCCATACTTCTCATCTGGCAATTTCAGAGCACTTGGCAAAAGGTGAGAGCATTCTTTGCTCTGTTCTCAGAGAAGCACATGTGAAACAAATGAAACACAAAGAACTTGCACTGTAAACAGTTGAAAAAGCGCCACAGCATTTTCTGAGAATGATGGCTTACCCATCATTGTTAGGTTAGTTTTGCATTGAAAAATAAAGGCCAAAGCTACTGTACATTATGGAAGTTTTTTAAATGACTTTTTTTTTTTTTTTACAACAACCTGTTGCACGATTGATTAAAAAAAAAATTTCTTTTCTTAATACAGTACATGGCATTTCTCCTCAATTGCACCAGAAGTAAATTTGGAAGCACTTTCAGTTTGTCTTATAGGCAAATAGGAAAGAAAAACAAGTCAGGCAGATTTTCAATCTCCTTTCCATCTCTTTGCCCACTGTTTTATCCCCTGTCTTTTACATCTCTGAGTCCACATACATTCCATTGATCAGATAATCCACTTGTGTGTAATCCTTCTTCTTGTAGCTCTCATAGGCCTGCATAAGGAAAAGAACTATAACAGTTACGAAAAAAAATGTACCAAGTAAGAGCACTGCAAGAAGTGAACTTTTATCCACTAAGTACCGAGTCAGGGGCTCGGCAGCAATGAGAAGATACTCATTGTCCATGTCCCGAGATTCTGCAAGGCCTGAAGCTGATGTTTTGGGTACATCTGCTGGAGCCATGGCTGTTGAAATAATGTGAGGTGTTGACTTTATTCCATGCCCGGTCACAGTTTCTGCTGTAGAGGCAGTAGTTAAAACTGTGGCACCTCTTGTAGAGCCCAGAAGAGAAGTTGATTTACTCAAGGATGTTGTGGCTGTACTTGCTTCTGACTCTAGAGATAGCAATGTAATGGCAGGCAGTGGATTTGCAGAGCGTGAACTCTCCAAAGGGGTGAGTGCCATGGCATGAGTGGAAGCAGTGGAAGATGTTCCTGCATGCTGCAGGATGAGGGTGGTTAATGTGTTTGGGGGAGCTCCAACAGTGGTGGAGCTACTAGAGTGGGAAGTGCTGGTGGTGGCTGGGTTAAACGGCTCTATTTGAGGCATTTGAGTACCTGCTTCAGAAATGACAGTGAGGGGAGCAGAAGAAGTGTGGGACAATAATGAGACAGAGCTACTATTTCCTGATTTTTTGGTGGTGGTCACGAGCTTGGTGACATAGCTGGAAGTGGAAGCAGGGATGATACCAGAAGTGGGAGAAGAAGCATTGGATGACATGGCTTCAGCAATGAGATCAGAACCTTCAGGGGCGTTTGAGGCTTTGGCAGTTGTTTCATAAACTGTAGTGAGGACAGTTGCATTTGTAACGTTCATTGTTATGGCTATGGCAGTGGTGGTGGTCACTGTGGTGGTAGCATTGCTTGCAATTACTGTTCTTGCATTTGTTATCACATCTTCACTCTTAACCCCAAGCAAATGCCTCGAGTGAATCTTGCGAGTTCGAACAGTTGAGGAAAACAGGTTTTCCACGTTGTGTTGGTCAACCCATGCATTCACCATCCTCTCCTTTTTCTGTGGATAGCTTTGGTGGTGAAACAGGACTGTTTCCCTTTTCCCACTGACAATTTCTTCAAAAAGACAAAACCAATGAGTTTCATAAGAACAAAACTCTCATGCTCAAACCTGACCTCATACCCCCAGCATGCAAAGCAGAACACATATTCTGCAGTACATGTAGTAAAACTGGAATAAATCAGTCCTAAAGTCAGCAAGAACAGGAAAACTCAGACCCCTGCCTCTATTGCACATAACCCATTTGGGGTTTTTTTTGTTGGGTTTTTTTGTTGTTGGTGGTGGTTTTTGCTGGCATTTTCCCAACCAGGGAATTAATTCCACAAAAAGGTGGGTAATGAAGTACAGAGCTGCAACGTAGAAGCACATTGTCAACAGGACCTGAGAAGAAGACTCATGCTTTTGAAGTTACAGAGTATCAACAAAGCCTTCATGCTTAGATTCATAATTTTCACCTCTCAAAACTGAGTGGAAACTTCCACTTACACCTTCATAATTCAGGAGAATTTCCTTCACAACTAGTGATCTTGATTTATAGTCAAAAAAATCCCATCTGCTTATCAAAGCTCTGGTTGCTACGTTGCAGAGAAGCCTTTGCCAACTGAAAAGAACCATGAAGAAGCTTTCTTTTTTTTTTAAACTTCGGTACAGCGAACGCTTGAAACACACTTTAGAAGATTGATTCCCCAATTACCAACAAGCTCTGCTTGGTTATTGTGTCACTTAATTAAAATTGAAGACCCTGGACACCTGAAAGTCACCATGAGCAATTGCTGCTAAGGCTGCTCTGATTATAGAAGCAGCCTGCTGCCTCTGGCACAAAATCCTGGCAATCTCAGAAAAAACAATGCCAAGACATTTTCCTTTCTCTTAAAAAATATAAATACATCTGTTATGCCCTTATTTTCCAAAGGACAGCACGTGGAGTGCAAATGGCTTGAATGAACAATGTCTTCAGCATGGAGACAAACTTACTCAGTAATAGTTACAAAAATTACTCACAGATACGTCATGCACATGTAAGTGCCAGCGCCCTTACCAGGCTAGTGAAACAGTGTTTCCAGTGTACCGACTTTACCTACAGAATCATTGTGCAGGCACTTCACAACCCATCTCCCTCAGCTGAAAGCCAGTCACGGTCTAAACGTAGGCATTTAAAGCAAAAGGACCAGGATCCTAGATTTAGCAGGAGCCTGAAAGCATGGTGTTACCTGCAAGCAGATCTTTGATGTCTTGTTCGCTGGCATTCTGGCACACACTAAGCTGGTGACACTGCAAGAGGACGCAGCGATTCTGGTAGGGCACAGACCAATTACAGTGATGGTTACCTGAAAAAAGCAGAGAAAATGGGTCACTACACACAGCATACTGAACACACTGCTTCATGGCTATAATTAAAGTATTAAAAAGAACACTGATAGCTGTAAGGTCTGGCCTTACAAGATCCTGACTCAGTCTTAGTGAAAATAATTGGAAAGCCAATAAAATCAATATAGCAGCTGCAGCCTACCTACCTGCTTGTCTTCTGGTACCAGCATCTCCTAACAGCAGCAATTCACTCACCTAGACAGTGACAAAGAGAGTGCACTACAGTCTGGACCCGTCTAAATGCTAGTATTCATATAGATGTGTTAATGAGGAAAAAAGAAGTGAGCTGAAACTAAGAAGACACCCATCTCATGACTCATGGAAGACAGCTCTCATCTCAGTTCTTGGAGTTCCACAGAAATTTACTCTTCATTCCGTGAACAATGATACCATCAGTCACAGGAACCATCACAGAAATTGTCTTTTAGTAAGTCAAATCCCAACACAAGCTAAATAAACTCAACACAGCAGAAGCTCTCTCCTGGCATCCCTTAGAACTCACTAACTTCCTTCTGGGCATGTTTACGTACATATAACCAAGCTTTGAAGGAAGGAATGAACTTCCTCTCACCTCTCTCTGAGGAGGCATCTCAGTTTTGGGCTCCCCAGCATACAAGTGCAGTATTCACATACTGGAGTGAGTCTAAACGGAGGCTACTAGATGTCTGAGGGGCTGAAGCAGATGACTTACAGGAAATCCCAGCTCAAACATGAAGGGAAAAATTTTTTTTGTGGTTTCCACCACAAGGGCACTCAAGCACTGGGCTAGGGGCTAGAGAGGTGGTACAATCCCCATCACTTCTGGAACAGCCAGATCTAAGTCGGGTTTGGACCACAGACCTTCAAAACGTCCCTTCCTGCCTAAATTATGCTATGATTTTATGTAATATCACAGTAGCACGCAATTAATTTCTGGGATACATGCTGTAATAAAAAAACCCAGAAGATAACACAGTGCTCAGTCTGGGATGAAGCAGATATGTGCCCATCTTATCTTACCTCCCAACACATCTGACCACCCATCCACGGATTAAAGAGAACTTAAGTGTATGGTAGGAGAAATTATTTTCTGTGTTTTGTTAGAAGTGTGAGAAAGGTCAAAGAACATGCCTATGTGGTACAAATGGCTATATTTAAAGCTCTTATCTACAAAGAGTTACACTCACGGAGGATTAAGGCTATGGGAAGCTTGAACTTTTCATTAAAAAAAAATTATGTTACCGCAGATATTAAAAGGGCTTGTGGAAAATTTATGATCTTGAAGAAAACCCTGTACTAACAACTGCAGTCTATTTTGACAGGCCTAAAGAAACTAGCAAAGATGCAATTTTCCTGACTTTGATAAAACGTTAAGAAAGTGACTAAATTCAAAGCCTTTAAAAAACAGTACTTAAAAAGCAATGTAATGAAAAAGCTTCAACAGTCACACAGAGCAGGACATACAGCAGCAGCCCTTCAGGAAATTAAAATTCACTCCTCAGAAATTAAAGCATGTTTGGATGTGTCCTGATTCCCAATACCACCTCTAATGAGATGATGGGGTCAGCATGGTTAAAGGACCTGGTTTCTGCTGCCATCAGGATGGTATCCAGGTGCTCATGACTTCCCTGATGCTCCCCAGGACAACCAGATACCTCTGTTGAGCTGGACTGACTAGTACTCCCTTTGATGCAACTCCAGCTGATGAGTCCGCTGCCAGACAGGTGCCACCCAGTGGCACCTTTTTGCTCACTTCCAATTAGGAGACAGAAAAAAAAAAAAAAAAAAAAGAAAAAAAGTGGAAGGACAACAAAAGGTCTTCAGAGCTACCCTGAAAGGAAACCATGTGAGCAGACAGCAAGGTCTTGCACTACCAAACCAGTTTATTTCATTTTTAAGCCTGCTGTTTAATGGAAAGAAATCACAGATGCCCAAAGGCAAGCAGAAGCCAGGTAAGCAGATGTATTGTGAAAGTAGGGAGCAGGAACATTTGCTCTTGCAGCCATGTCATATTTTCCCTTTATTTTCCCCAGAGCATGTAAGATAGCCCAGAGTATGGGTAAGTAGCTCTATTCTCAGAGCAAGACTGCTACTGCTCAGATGGCCAAGATGTTCCCCTCCAGCCCTGGACTGGCCACCGTAGAAGAAACTTGGGAGAGCTCTGAATATGGCTGGGGATGCAAAGGAAAGAGCATGAGCTTATCTTACCTCCCAACACAGGTTCACTGTGCTCACCAGGCACCTGGGAATCCTGGATTGCCAGATCTTTGCCAAGATGGACACTTTCTCCTTCATGTATATCACTTACCCTAGCAGCATCTGAAGACTCGAACCCATTGCATTAGACAACATACAGACTTTAGAGTTTCTACCCATGCTGTCAGCCCTAGAGAGTTTTTCTGCTTTTATTAACATGTAATTGAAGTGTCAAACTGTCACATTATATTGGTACAATCATTTTGTGGTATGTTAGTTTGCTAACTATGTACCCTGACATCTGTGGATATTCAAAGGCAATACTGGAATACCTAGACCAGCAACCGTTCCCTTTTCTGCAGGGCACACCTGAGATGTGAATGTACAGGCAAAAGTGGTTCTTTTTGTCATAGTTCCACTACTTCTCTAAGTTAATGATGTTATATCAGCAAGGATATAAATTACGTTTACAGAAGAGAGCCTAACCAGCTAGGAATGTTGTTTTTCCACTTCTCCAAGCAATGTAGCTATGAAGACATCTTCCCATACAACCTTGGCCTGCAACTTAACACTGTAATACTTGAAAAAAAATACAAAAAACCAACCACTGCTCCTTTACTGACAGTTACATAGATGTGACTATTCTGACATCTAAGCCTCAGGCCTCATGTCTGTAATGAAAGAAAGCACAAAAATAAATATACTTGGGGAAGATGGGAATGAAGAACGGGGCTAGTAAAGTCTGATCTTAAAATCTAAAGCTAATCATTAAAAAAAAAAAAAGACATTTCAGGTCCTTCTCTGGAGATAATCTGTCTGCACATGGCTATCTACTTATGTCAAGAGTTCGTATCTTTGCCATCTCCTTTGGCACCAAGTAGTGCAACAGACTGGCCATCAAGTAACAAATTGGAATTAAATTGCTTCATTGGGTTTAATACAGAATGTAAAACCTGAAAAGGTTTATGCTTTTGGGTTTAGTTTTGCATAGTTTCTTGAAGGTGGAATGGGTCACCTAATTCTAATGGCTCAACCCCCTCTGCCCAACAAAGCTAACACTCAACTGGAGTTGCTCTATACAAAACACATCAGGCGAGAACAAGGTGAAGGGTATAAACAAAAGTGGTTGAAGTCAGCAACAGGGTGAAGCATGCATTCAGACCATCTCCTAGCCCTGATCACAGACTAACTAGATTCCTTATGTCCCTCCTCTGGAAAAGGCAGCTGTTAACACCTTTTCTACCCTTATCAGGGTATCAGGAGGTTAAGATAACATGTGCACAGTGTTTAGAGATTCTCAAGCGGAACGGACAAACATGCTACAGACCCTAAGTATCAGTACGGTCAGTATGAATGTGTCATCTCTCTAGGGTTTACCACCTTAAAAAGCAGAAGCTGAAGTTTTCACAGCTCTTGTGCCTGGGAAACAAACCCAGTTATATTTTACCTCCTAAATAAAACAGTTTATAAAGGTGCTTATTTTCCACTATGAAGGCATGTCTCGTGTTTAAAATAAAAGTTTGAAACCACTGGGCATTAAGAAAAGGAATCTTTATGATGTTCCTATCAATCTGATTGTCAGACATTTCTCAACCTGAGTCAAGGTCTCATCTTCACCACAGCATTACCAGTTGTTTGTAGCCTGTGGCTACATGTGGGTAGATAAGATAGGGTCCTTCGTAAGGACAACTCTGAAAGACGCATTTAGATGTTTAACACTTTTTAAAGACATCTCAGAGATAGAGAGCAGAAGGATCTCATCTCCCCAGACTTGTTTAACCCTGTGCTTGGTTGCAGGATACAACTGGTTTCTTCTAAGGCAGAAAAAACACACATAAATACCAGTGAACAAAGACTAGTCATTCCAGTGCAGCTGTGTACAACAAGCACTGTTCACTTGCAAACATCTGGCAGCATGGAATAATCATTCTTCAAATCAAGCGACCTAACACCATTTGCATGCTACCGGTGCACACAAAGCACACATGCATGCTGTTTCTTACGGAAGCTAGAAGGGCCCTGGGAAATGGTTGTTCTGGATTCAATTTAACCAAAGTTGTCAGAAGTTATTTAGCACCACAGGCGTGCACAGAGAAGCCATAACTGTAAATGCTTGTAAACAACTGGAACTAAAAGAGATAGTTATAAGGGGAGCAGAAGAGACCTTTAGGGAACAGAAAATCCAGCTAAGAGACAAGAACCTCACCTGAAGCACCTGGGCTTTGACAAGCCTGCCTGCACCGCTTTTCAGTTGTAAGCCTGTTTATTCGCACTACATGGACTCCTCTCCCTTTCAGGACAGAAAACCTGTGTTCACATATACAGAAAGAAATCATCAGGAAGAATACAATGGCAGTCCACATCTTCAGGTTGGCTTTGCAGGAAGGCTTCTCTTCCCAGGAGCAATTCTTTCTTATAATTCTTTCTTACATCACTTTCAGATCCACTGCAATATACCTATTTAAAAAAAAAAAAAAAGAAAAAGAAAAAAGAAAATTGTCAATTTATATCAAGAGAGTGTTCTACTAAATACACTCCTATGAGTGGGAATGAAAAAAAAACAAACATACAAAAGGCAGGCAAGTATCATTACACACAACATACAGGCAATGACACAGACACAGGAAGAGACCACTCCCAAATTCAGAGAGGCTCTTTTTTGCAAAGGGTACTTTGCTGTTCTTTCCTCAGGCACCAAATGGAGAACAGCTCAAGTCAAAAGCCATGTGTACAAAGCCAAACTCAAAGTCCACAGGTGTACAGCAGCATGGAAATGACACCTTTTGTCTCACTCTGGGACCCTTAATGTTGTTCCCAGACTCAGCAGAAGGGTTTGCAGCAGCTTGAGCACACTTATACTATGACGAACCGTAGTCCTGGCCCTGCCTTTACCTGTTACTGAAGAAGAATCACACCCACAGTAAGCCTTCATCTCCCCACATTAAACAATAAATAAGCATTATCAATGCACACATGAGACTCTGTACCAATGGATGGGGCTCTCATCCCTGAAGTCACTGGAGCAGCTCCCACTGACTTCAGAGCAGATCATCAGCTTCTACCTGGATTTAGCCTCTTGTTTCCAAAACTTTTTAAAGCTTTATAGGAGCTTCCAAACAGTTCAGCCTGAACCAGACCAATTGTAAGTCTCTTCCCTAAGTAGTTTTTAAGGGCAACCCTTTTCTTCATCACTGAGGCAAGCTTTTTAGTATAAATAGCATAGTAAAAACCATCCAACAGTCATCAGCATAAGACCCTGATTTAGCCACCCATGCAAGAAGTTTCGCCCTGAGCTCTCAACTCCAGTCCCAACCACACTCATGAATTTAAGCTTCTGAATAGCAGCCTTTTTTTCCCACCAAGAAAGCCCAAGATAATGTTTATTAGCTTTGACTCACAGGTTGCAACATTTTGATGCTTTGTAGCACGAAACTTTTGTTTCCAAATTTTCCTCCTTACTCTATGTCCTAAAGCCCTGAACAGGGTAACAGATCTTTAGCCTGAAAACCACCCTGCCTGAAAAAGGGTGAAATATAAACAGCTACCCAAAGCTTTGCAGAGGACGCACAACATACATATCCACATTGGACTATCAAAGAGTCAAAGATGGGGACAGAACTTGATATCAAATGTAATGCCTCAAATTCAGCATCCCTAGTCACCCTACAAGTTCCTTAAGGAACTCAAAGCCTCTTTCCTGCCTTTTTATCTATTCTAGTAAAAAGAATTACTTTGTCTGTTGAAAATAGATGGAGCATTTCTACATCTTCTGCTCTCCCAGACAGCAGGGGAGCCCAAAAGCAACCAGACTGTAGGGTACTTCCAGGGCTGACCATTGCTCATGCACTCATCTGCAGCTTTATCCCTGGAGCAAGCATGCACATATCATGCTCATTTTGTGCAAGCGAGTTTCTCACTGCAGCCAAAAGTTCAAGCCTGGGTCATCCCACCTGGCAGCTGGAAATATTTCCAAGTCTGACCTGACAATAAAAGTCTTGGCAGGGAAAGGCAGCTCACCAGCCCCATCTACTCTTGCATACCAGAGACTGCACCTGGTGTCCAGCCAGCACCAGCTTCACTGGGGTCTCTCTCCCATTTCGTGCTGTGCCTGCACAGCACAAACTCTTTGCTCATTCCTTCTCATCACTTGCTCTTCCAAGTGCACATTAGTGGGAGTTGAAAGAATCAATGCAGGAGAGGAGATGATCTGTGCACAACTGCAGCCCCTGCAACACAGTACACAGGCATTGGCTGCTTAGGAAAGCAGCCCCATCTTTGGCAAGGAATTGGTAATATGAATTTGTGTCATTCAGCCAAAACAACTTCAATACTTTTCCCACTGTTCTGAATTACAAGGCACTTCCACAAGTTTGCCTTAGCCTTTAGCACACTCTGGCTGTCACTCTTAGCATATGCTGTAGTTTAATCATTGAAAACTCCAGTTGACAAGACTGGGAGCAAAGGGGAAAGCAAAGGAAGATGAAATACTCTGCCCACAAGAGATTTTCCTAGAGCAGACAGATCCTTATTGCTGACAGACAGCAAAAGTTTGCTTTAAACTCCAAATCCTTCAACTTCAATCCTAAAGCAAGCAATTTGGGTTCCCTCACAGACACTATAGGTACCTCACCAAGACACTTACAGCACTATTTGTCAACCTGCACTCCCACCACACTATGCAGAAAGAAGTGCACTTTTTGTAAAATTCATAGGTCACAGGCAGAGATTCAGCAAGCAGTATCTGACCCACAGAAAAAGACAAAAAAATACATCATTAAAGGTAAATTTTACATTTTAAAGAGGCCAGTTTATGTTTGCTGGCCCCTTTCAGGGTAAAAGGCTTACAAGAAGCAATATTTTATAGCCTAAGAAGTGACCCTGAGAATGAACTGGCTGTGCAATTACGTATGCATTTACTGTTTTAAAGAAAATATTAAAGAATAACAGCAGTGAATACAAACACAGAGCACTCTTATTATAGGGTTTTTTTTCCCTTCCTTTACTCATACCTTTGTAGTTATACTAACCAACCCTCAAAGAATAAAGATCTTCCATTGCCTATTGGAAATGCAGATATGGCAGCATTAGATCTATGCATAAATACTATAATTATTTTTATAGTTAAAATCACAGTCTTCTAGGACAAAAAAAAAAAAAAAAACTTTAATTAACCTTAACTGACCCAAAACCTACATATATTTGTAAGATCAAATGTTGATCACACTCAGTGTCTATAAACTGTTGCATTAACACAGCTCTGTCCCCTATGCACAGATACTTAGTATCCCCAACCACATTAACTCACTAGTTTTTCCTGACTTAACAACTGCCTTTTATAATTACAAGCAATAAGCTTTAATTCTTCCTTCCCATCTGTCACGGTTTAACCCCTTGCCAGCAACTAAGCACCACACAGCCACTTGTTCACTCCCCGCCGGCCCCTGCAGTGGAATGGGGGAGAGATATCAGAAAAAAAAGTAAAACTTGTGGGTTGAGATAAAGACAGTTTAACAGGACAGAAAAGGAAGGGAATAATAATAATAATATACAAAACAAGTGATGACAACTGCTTGCAACCTGCTGACCGATGTCCAACCAGTCCTCGAGCCACAGTGCCCCCAGCCAACTCCCCCCAGTTTAAATATTGGCATGATGTCATATGGTACAGAAATACCCCTTTGGTCAGTTCAGCTCAGCTGTCCTGGCTGTGCCCCCTCCCAGCTTGTTGCTGGCAGGACAGTATGAGAAGCTGGAAAGCCCTTGACTAGTACAAGCACTACTTAGCAACAACTAAAACACTAGTGTGTTACCAACATAATTCTCACACCAAATCCAAAACACAGCACTATACCAGCTACTAGGAAGAAAATTAACTCCATCCCAGCCAAAACCAGGACACCATCACACTTCTAGCAAGTCCCACATGGCTCCATTTGTACTCAGAGACCCCACTGAGCACCCACCACACACCTATATCCCAGAAAAGCACCAGCTAAAGTTTCTTCTCCAGATCATGTTGCTCCCCAGAAGAAACTATCCTCTGGATGTTGGAAACAACATGAAGGAAGAGATTTTGTAATCAGAAATATTTTTGAGAAATCAGGGCAAAATTCACTCTTTGAGCACTACCTTCTCCTTCTCCATCCCCAAGGAAATTAAAAGTCAAACCAAAACCAAACCACAAAAGACAGCAACAAATAAAATCTGGGAAAGGACTACACTCTGAAAAGTGCAAAGTTTACTTTTACCATCTGTGGCTATAAGTCAGCAGGGAACAAGCACACTGGAAAACCGGAATAACTTTGAGTCAACAACTGAACGACTGATGACTTTGCAATGTGTACACACATCCAGAGGGCACTGCCTGCTGGGTTTCAGAAGCATTCCTCCCTTCTTGCTGATCTCCCTGTGCTCGAGCGAAGGAATTTGTGCAAAAAAAAAAAAAAAATTCAAAGTATTATTTCAAATAACATTGATTGGGGTGATGTTGCAAGAACAGAGTGAAGCCTTTGGAATATAAATTCCTTGCCTCCATGCCCTCCCAGTCAGCCTCAATTGCTCCTGGTTAAGCAGCTGCAAAGTGCATGCAGTGACTGCACCAAGGCAAAAAAATTTAGAATTAGACAAAAAAAATAGCACAGAAAGAGGGTGTCTGCATGTTAGGTACAAAGTGGGCAAAGCAAATGATTTAGGGCAACACATGCTCCTTTGAGCTGTCAAAGACCCAGCAGACACTGCCCCAAAATTCATACTTAGAAGCGTGCATGGACTAGGCATGAAATAAGGTCAAAGAGCTGCAAAGAAATCTTCTACCCTCAGTATAACAACAAAGCAGGGAAAGCAAGGGTGGAATATCTTTTGCAGACAATGATGCCACTCTCCCATCAAATTGAGAAGACATAAGGCCTGGTTTCAACTTGCAATTGCTGCTAAACACTTCATGTGTTATCAGCTCTCAAAACAAGTGCTATATTTCACTCTTTAGAAAAACAGAATTAAACCAGATTTTGCTAAGGAAAGACAAGCACATCTCATTTTGCTAATCGAGGCTAGAATGCAGGAGGCAGGGAATCTGTGCTGCAACCTGGAGAAGCATTTGGCTTCCCAAGATTATCTTTGGAGATAAGCTTCAGCCTTGGGGCTGGTGATGCACACATGGATAGGTGAGACAGAAGGGGCAGCACCAAAGTACATGAGGCTGACCCACTGTCAGCTGAGCATAACCAGATCAGATTATATCATTCTCTGAACAGCAACCTTAAAGCCATTAAGTTCCTTTGGCTCCTGAAGAAAGTTAATGACAAGTTACAAAGCTGTTTCTACAAAACGTCATGTGTTATCAACACTGAAGGATGAACTGAAG